GGGCACAAATGAGTAGAAATAGCGATTTTCTCATTTTGGAGTAGAAATTGAGAGGAAAAGAGGGAATCTGGGGAAAAAGGGACCTTTTCTTTTTTGGGTTCTTGATTTGGTTCTACTTATCCTCCAGCTCGACGAGACGACATTAGGGTTGTTCTTGAACAAAGATGACGGAGTTTGGGGCTGAGCAACTTGAATTTTCTGTTAATATATTTCAATGTATCTCGCTGTATTTCCATGTATTTCACTGTATTCATTGTCTTTTTTTCATTGTATTTCAATGTATCCCGCTGTATTCTATGTGTTTCATTGTATTCACTATCTCGCGATATGCCATGAATGTATTCATAAGTTTTTTTTAATTAATATAATTTATGTATTCAGATGTATTATATAATTTCTCTGAAGATTGCTATGTTTTTGGGGTATTTTTCGGTTGAGAATCTTTTTTATAACTAAAAATACAAAATTTGTGTGTTATAATTGAGTTTGTTGAGTTATATTAGGAGTCTATTATGTTAATTGATTTACTTTCCGTTTTAAAAACAGTGTAATCCCCTATTTCACGCCGTGAATACAGTCGAATACAATAAATCTGTCCAGCTGTAATCCCATGTTTCACTCCATGAATACAGTCGAATACACTCGAATACAACAACTGATTAGCTGGACTTCCCTGATTCACGCTTATTTTTGCTACTGTATTCATGAATACAATAGCTTAAATATATCAAATACATCTTATAACCACTGAAAAGGTATCTATAATCCGTAATATAGCAAATGGTATCTATAGATGGCTAATTACTACTAAAAGATGGTGCTTTATAAAAATTTCTCATAAAATAATCTACACAAATATTCTTATAATTAAGCTCTTTCTTTTTTTCCTGAAGCCATTCACCCAGGCTATATTAGCCTGAGGTGATGAGAGGTTTTGTATTATCCCCTACCTCATATATTAGTTAGATAACCGGACCAATATGCTTTACATGTTTAAGTAAGAAAAGAGTTTTAGATGCAAAAGACAAATGCGGGTGTAGGATTTTTAGAACATGAGTTCATCACTAAATAAAGAGAAAAAAATGAGGTACTTTGTGAGAATTTATCCCTCTTCCTTCAAGTAAATAATTCGATATTTAATCAAGTTCACCATGTAGCCTTTATAGAATATGAGGGCCAGCAAATCATATTAGATAAAATCTAGGAAATTTGTACATAAAATACCTAGTTTAATTTGATAAAAAGAGCATGGGTTCACGTGCCCCATAATTTAGGCCTAAATCCACCCTTGATGGAAGACATATATCATGTTATTAATTTAGTGTAAATATCGAGTGCAAATAAATTGTATGGACTATGATGAAATTCTAATTCACCATTATCTAAGAAACTAAAGGCAAAAACCCTGAAAAAAACCCCTTACTCCAAACACTCACCTTTCTTAGTTTATTGTCCCCACCACCACCCAAAGATCAGCAGCCCTTAATTCAAGCCATAGGAAGCCAATTATTCTCAGTATAAATATCAGTTCGTACACACTATACCACGTATCAACCACTATAGGTGACTCACAAAAAAAGAAAACTAGTGATAAAAAAAATTCTAGCTAAAAGTCCAAAAATGGTGCAAGAGGAAATCAGAAGAGGACCATGGACAGAACAAGAAGATCTTCAGCTTGTATTTTATGTAAAATTATTTGGAGATCGAAGATGGGATTTTCTAGCCAAAGTTTCAGGTTTGATGAAGGTTAAGGAGGGAGAACAAAAAATAGAATAGGTATATTAGGTTAGTTTTGGATCATATATATATCCTTATATATGTCCAAAGAGTTAAGTCTCTAACCCTATTCTTCTCTCCATATTCTTTCTTTGTAATGTTCTTTTGGTTTAGGTTTGAAAAGAACAGGAAAGAGTTGCAGGTTACGTTGGGTTAATTACTTGAATCCTGATCTTAAACGTGGCAAGATGACTCCTCAAGAAGAACGTCTTGTTCTTGAACTTCACTCTAAATGGGGAAATAGGTCTGTCTTTTTTTTTTTTTTTTTTTTACATTTCTCATATCAAGAACCATATATCTTAACTATTCTCCTTTACTTTAACATTTAGAAAAAAGGTTTAACTTTACCTTTATGTTATATACGAAATATCATAATTTTACCTCTTGTTATATACAAAATATCATAATTTTACTCTCAGTTATATTTGAAGTCATTTATGCCTATATCGTTAGCAAACATTCTCGTATTTGCACTTAATCGTATTTGGAGCTCTAGCGTGGATAGGCGACAAGAGAGGTTGCTCAGATGGTTAGCACTCCCCATCTATCAGACTCGTGGGTTCGAGTCACCCGAAGGAGCAATAGCTCCAACAAAGAGGATTAATGGGGAATCAAAAAAATAAAGCATGGATCGGCGAATTTCATATGTTGGAATATTGTTAAAAAGAATTTAAATTTACCCCTCAACTTCAGATATATTATATAGTTGATGGCAAATATGAGAGGATTTATTCATTAATGACCCCGAAATATAACATAGGTAGAACTAAAATATTTCCTATGGTATATGTATTACTTTGACGCGTTTTCCCCTTTAAATTTTTATATATCTGATGTTGATTTTTTATTTCTTTTGGGTATTTAGATGGTCAAGAATTGCTCGAAAAATACCAGGGCGAACTGATAACGAAATCAAGAATTACTGGAGAACACACATGAGGAAGAAAGCTCAAGAACAAAGGAAAAAAGCAACTTCTATTTCTCCATCTTCGTCTTTTTCAAACTGTTCATCTTCTTCTTCCATAACTCGTGAAGAAAATGAGAGAAATTTCTACGATACCGGTGGAATCGAGCAATTGCAAGTTGAAGAACAAAAGAAAGATAATGATCAAGAACAAGCTGGGGAGAGTATGAAAGTTTATTCAATGGATGAAATATGGAAAGATATTGAATTATTAGAAGAAAATGAAACAATTAATAAATCAATTATGGGGTCAATTTCACCCCTATGGGATTATTGTGCGGACCCCATGTGGAAAGATTTTGATTGGAGTACCTTTCGGTAAGAGCGTGATTTTGAATTAGTCGGGCCAACAGACTTCAAATATCGAATGGTTAGACTGGAAAAAGATAAGACGGACTAATAGGAGGATCATTTATTTGAAAAAAAAAATATTATAATTAGTTGGTTTTGGTTTTATAAGAGTAAGTTCTAACTTGTATATCACTAGCAGTAGTATAATAAAAAGTCTGCTGTTGTAGCCATCTGATGATATGCTTTAATTTACTAGAGTTTTAAAAGTCTGTTACTATGTGATTATTACCATCGGCAATCTTTCTTATGAAATTTAAATTTTTCTTGAATTCCTTGTAAAAGTTCTTAGCTTCCTATATGTGTAAATTTGTAATCTTTTCTTGTTGTTGCATCAATTCCATCCATTAAATTTGCTATTTCAGATATCAAATTTAGCTGTTACAAGTTGGGCAAAGATCACTTTTAGGTTAAGTGGGAAACTATTTACATTCGGTTGCTGAAAAAGTGTAAAAAATTGTAATGTTTTTTGTATGTAACATATATATATATATATATATATATATATATATATATATATATATATATATATATATATATATATATATATATATATGTTTATATATATA